CAGCATGGGGGTGAGTAGAAAATGAAGGCTAATCATGTTTTGGGTGTACTATTCCTTTAAACTTATTAATGCCATATTTAGATGGAAGGAGAATTTTGGGATCACTTTAGGATCCCAAAATGCTCGTATAAAAAGTTATTTCAACAATTTCTCCAGTATATTGAACCAGGTAGTAGTTAAACCTTCATTTGTCAAGGAATGATGGTTTCTAAGTAGGGTCAAATTTTAAAATTTTAGCGTTAACAGTTCTTTTTTCCTTAAGTCTGTTTAATCATAAAAAGAATATTGAACTTCAAAATAAAACAGGCCTTTTATTCAGCCTTTATTGTTGGTAGCAGTGTTTGTAATATTACCCAGCGTCCATCCCCTCCTCCATGTTTGTGTTCTTTGCTGCCACCAGCAGAAACCACCATGAGTAAATAAAACGCTGCATCGTTTCCAACTGGGTCTCATTAAAGCATCAGAGCAGAGGGCGGCTGCACTCAGGAATGAAGACTGTTGCATTATTGGCATGATTATTGCTTTCTGCCTGTTGAATGTTTGCTGCCTCTGCTCTGTTCTGACGTCACCAAAGCAGCTGTGTCCTGCATTATGCTGTATCTCACAGTTAGGGGGGATTTTAGTAAAAGGGAAGCAGAGTGAATCGTGCACAGGCTGAAGATAGTTTAAAGCCTCAGAGAGGATGTGTTTGTGTACTTTATCAACAGCTTGGACTGCGGGTCATTTCATTAACTGCTGCCTGGAGTGACGCTTCTATGTTTGCCTTCTATACATCCCACCTTCCGCATATCTAACAATCGAAGGCATTTCCATTATAAAGAGCAACAGAACAGCAGGCAGGGATGAATTAGCTGCCCCTGAACCTAACCGCTCCTTCTCCCAGCTCTCAGTGGCATTTCATTAACGTCAGAAGGACGCAGTCTATCCCCAGGAGGAGCGCTGCCACCTGGCAACCACCAGGGGGTGGAAGCACAGTCTGCCATTCAAAACATGGCATCAATTGGAGGCTAGTTTTCTTATAAATGTGCACAGAATATACCTTTCAAATGAAAACCTGAACAGGTCCTTTTTTACATGCACATCAGCCAGTTAGACTGCAACAAAAGATTGTTTTTGAGCATTGAGGCGAAGGCTTTCTCAGATCTGCAGAGCATGGTTTGGAAAAAAAAACAAATATCCAGTGAGCTGAAGTTCATGTCAGAGGTTAGAGGAGATTTGTCAGACTAGTGCAGGCTTTTAAAAAAGCAAATATAACTCAAATAACCGCTAATTAAAAACAAGGAATGCAGAACATTTATAGTAACGTCTGATGAATTTATTTATATTTATGGAACAGATTTTTAAAAAGTATCTATGACTAGTTGATGTTGGCCTAAATACAGTGGCAGCCTTTCAAAAATGGCCCAATGCCAGCC